TTAAGATAGTTTTCAAAGAAACAAGAGCTCGGCAGCTTCATTTTGGTGTGATCACCTATGTGTACACTCTCTCCAAATCACCGTCAACAAATCATCGTCATCTTTCGGCAGTCGTAAGTGTTATACTCTCCCTTCTCTAGTTAAGGACGGTGTTAAGGACATCCTGGTGATCAGGTTAGGTGAAGCAAGCTAAAGAACCAGCTGGTAGAGTGGCTAGAGCTCAGATCTAGTAAGACCGGTAGTTGCACAACAATTATGAGCGTTATTTCAAGTTAAAACTCACTGGAAGCGATCTCGAATCTGTGGAAGCCGCCTAACTAATTGGTTTTCTACAGTAGTCAAACCAAAACTTGACACCAGTCCATGGAATGTTTGAGAGCTAGAACGTATGAGTCAGTCACATACGGAGGTATAGACTGCCTGGTTTTGGACCTTGATGACAATTGGTAATATTGGCTGAAAATCATTCACACTGACAGAGAAACACTCAACTCTACTGTTTTTACACGTCAATATTCTTCCTTGAAAAAAGGTGTGCAATTATAAGATTAGTAGACAAATCAAAAAAATAAAAACGTTACGTAATATTGTGTGGAATTTAATAGCATAGAATTTAATGTTGTAAAAAGGAATCGATTTAGAATGACAAGTGGAACAAGTGAAATAATACCGGGGACAATTAAAAGTGAGAATAGTAATAGTAACAATTGACGAAACAGAGGAAGAGTATACAAATTGAATAGACAAAATGGGAAATTGAAAATTGAAAAATTGGTGGAGCTAAAATATTATTGGGGATTACCATACTTTAGCATAGAGGGATTAAGACCATGGAAGATGGAGGGGTTAAACGAAGTTTTTCTGTACACAGAGATCTGGCTTTTTTGTTTTCATGGCCAAAGCTTCAGCAATGCAGATGAGTCGGGTACGTATGGATTTGGGTAAATTACTCTTTGCCTTGTAGATGACTTTAAAGGCGGAGGCTATAGAGATAGGGTGATCATTGTCGACCAGATGTCCAATGATCGCGCTTCTTATTGCTCCACTTCCACCTTTTCGTAACCATGCAGGATAGTGTCCTTGCACCCTCTTGGACAAAACTCGAGTCGAACGACCGACATGGTCTTAATCCCTCTATGCTAAAGTACGGTAATCCCCAATCATATATATATATATGATTGTACAGCTTGCTGATAAATTCGTTGAAAAGAGTCTCTTCGCTGAATCATTTGTTTTGATTTTCTATGTGTTACAATGGGAATTTTCCATGATTAAAAAAATATTCCTCCTTTCTCACACTTTTCCCTATCATCGTTTAGTATAGGAAGTGTGGCAAGTTGAACTGTCGCACTTCTTTACTAAGTTCTATGTTAAAACCAGTCAGTCAGTCAGTAGATCATATGTAACTCAACTCCTTAAGAGAACGTTTTAACCTGTTTTGATTGATGGCAAATAGCGGTAGAAGTCACAAGTCACTTTTCGTCTTGTTTTGGGACGCATAACAATGTCCATCGAACTCCATGTTGTCAATATAAAGTGCAGCAGTTCGAGTGTGAGGACAAATATTCCCCGAAGACACTGACTACCGGTCGTGCTACGTCATGAATTCGCAGAAGTTGGAATTTATTGGCCACTGGGTTGGGTCCAGTGGTTTCTGAATGGTCTACGAGCTCACTGGACTTGTAACCAGAAGCTTTTGGGTTCGAACCCCCCTATGGTGGGTGCGTATTCCAGGAGAGTCCCAAAGTAGACTGATGAAACAACTATTCAGTACTCTCAGGTTTTCCATTGCTTTTCTTTAACCAATGTCAAGTCTCTCTCATGAAATCCTCTCATCAATCAATCAAATCGCTACAAACCAATACTTGATTCTATGACTGTTTTTCTTTTCCAAAAGCATACAAAAGTGTTCAACGAATTCTAAACTACCCGTACATTGTTTGGTTCAATGCTGAATGGATGTTTTGTACACAGAAATAAACCTGCTATTATTTGATGAAGTAATGCGTTCACACTGTTACAAAATCACACTCAATGATGCTTTACCATTGTGAAAATAACTCTAGTTTCTGCTGAATCAGGAGCCTAAAGTAGAGAAAAACGGTTAGAAAGATTTTCTTTGAGCGTTGAAATAATACAAGTAGTGTTGAAGTGATGCTAGTCAATGCTGTAAAGGATATTAAGATGATGACATGATTCTCATGAAAGTGTTTTGTAAATAATCGTTGAACTAATGTGGACAGTGTCGATCGAAAGGTACTTTGGCAACTACGTCGCTACTACGGGGTGCCACCGACAATTATACATCTCATCCAACAGCCGTAAGACAATGCTGCGTGCCAAGTAATCCACAACGGGAGACCTACGGAATTCTTCGAAGTGAGGACAGGAGTAAGACAAGGCTACCTACCATCGCCAATGATTTTCCTGATCGCAATAGATTGGATAATGCGACAAAAAGCGAGTAATGAGGAAACAGGCATAAAATGGACACACACAAAAAACTTGGATGATCTGGACTTCGCCGATGATGACATATGTCTGATTTCCAACAAACTGGGAGAAAAGCAAGCGAAAAGCAACAAGTTGGCTGAAGAAGCATCAAAGATATGACTTCACTAGAGGTGAACATAGAGAAAACAGAGGTGATGAAGATTCCCGGCCAACACCACCAACAGCAACCACAACAGATAACAATCAGCATAAACGGAAGGAACCTGAAAGAAAAAACCTCCTTCACCTACCCACCAACCTGCGAAGCATCGTTTCAACTACAGGCACACGGAACTGACGAGGATATCAAAGCAAGAATCGGAAAAGCAAGACAAGCTTTCACTACTCTCAAGTCTGTGTCGAGGTCAACAACACTCACCATCAAAAATGACATCCATATTTTCAACTCCAATGTGAAGTCAGTGCTACTCACTATACGGATCAGAGACTTGGTGCGCCATAAAGAGCATCTCAAACAAACCACAGAACTTCATCAACAGCTGTCTTCGCTCAATACTCAAGATCAGATGGCCAGCCGGAAAAGATCAGCAACAGAGATCTCTGGCAATGAGCGAACCAACACAGCAGGAACCGACTGTGAAACAAATAAGCAGGAAGAAATGGAGATGGATTGGCTGGCCATACTCTGAGGAAACAAACCATCAAGTTACATGACTAGACAAGCCATTGCTCGAGTGGAACCCGAAAGGGAAGCGGCGAGTTGGTCGTCAGTGCAAGGGTGACTTGGAGGAGGTGATGTGAAGAGGAGATGAACATGTGTGGGCAGACTTGGAGCCAGGTGAAGACTGTAGCAGAGAACGGAACGCAATGGAGAGGCACGGGTGAAGCCCTATGTTCCTCTAGGAATTAGAGGAAACAATGATAATAATAATGTGGATGATACGAAAAAACAAAAACAGTACAGAGTGCTTTTTTGTGCCCTAACTACATTGTTCCACTTCTTTTCAGAATCTACCTATCATACATGAAAAGCGTTATCTCAGATAGAATTCACCAGTAATATCACATTTCCACAATTGTATTTGTAGTCTTCAATCCGCTTTCACTCAAAGTAGGAACTACTTACTTACAGAAAGCAGAAAAAAATTAAAGAAGTCTAGCATTCCATAGTGAGTGATGATTTTCCCAGCACCAAGGCTCCAACCCAGTGCTCATTGTTTCAAACTCCAAAGCGCGTTATTCACTAGACCACTTGGGCCACAAGAGACAGCCACCTCTTGTGCAAAACAGGTCATATTAATCATTTAATTGAATTTCAGATTTGCCCATCGATTTACTGGGCACTGGGTTCGAGCCTCCATGGTGGGAATATCATCACTCACTCGAGGGGGGAGGGGGAATGCAGTTACATCCAGCTGACGCAAGTCCCAAAAATAGAACGAAATGCGAATAATCCTCGATTTCACACTGCTAGTCACCATCCACCAATTAAATTCTAATTACACATGCCCAAACCTTGTCGAAGCATCTGCGCAAGAAGCCAACAGACCTGTTCACCCTGAGACCGAGCACTTCGGTTCAATCAATCGACGGGACAATCTAAAACAAACAAAAAAATTCAATTAAACATTGAACTAATACATTGGACATTGAATAATTTTGTTTTATTCATTTATAAAGTATAAATTGATATACGTCAATAATTCCCAGGTCAGTTAAAAATGTGAAATAGTTATGAAAAAGTGTGCTTTCAAATTTCACAAATACTGATAACAATAGAAATATTAAAATAGTAATATTGCTAACAGTAAATAGTGACAGTATTAGTTACTTAAATATATGATTGGTTATATAGTGTTATATGCAGGGGTAAGGTATGATTATGAAGGCACACTAGAGTCCGTGTATCTTTGGTGCGTCCAATGGGTATATGTATGCGTATATATATCATATATATATGTTTGTACGTAGGTACGTATAATGACTTTTGCACACATACTACTAGTAATATTATTAGTAGTATTACTATACTTAAGTACAATACTGACATGCATACACATGGACATTTGGACACACAGTCACATTGACACATACAAACATACATACTTACAAAAAAGTGTATCCTATATCCATATAGAGCAATGAAATTTTGTTCAATTTTCGTTCAGCTAATATAACTTGGCGTTAACTCGGACAGAGGAGATACACCACACACACAACAGTGTAATTATTTAAGCACACTTCTATATAGATTTTAGTAGTAAATCAAATTTAGTCATACAGTTTGAACCAATGAAATAGGCTTATTTTGTGTAAAAATAAAACACACACTACCTACTTATCATTATAAAATACTAATAATCATAATTACTACGACTTTTACTATTACTATTACTAATATTATTAGTAATAGTAGTATTATGAATAGTGATACTAACAGATCATTTGTGTATATAAATGTGAGAATTTTGTCAAAATAAAGTCTGATTGAATCACGATTAACAATCAAAATATATAGTTGAATAAAATAAATATTCTTATATATAATGCAACTAATACTAATTGTTTTCGCGATTCTCTTATGGCTTACACATTTTACCCAACAGACAACACTCTCCTACAGACAATATCGTCAGAAAGAAGAAATCCCGATCATTGTCCCACCACAAGATATTGACTCGAATCCAAAAACACCAAAAGACAAAGAATTGTCAACACCAGGTGAAGACGAAGACGCAGTTGTAGCATCCGGCGGTGGAAGCGAAGTAAATCACCGGTCAAAACGTTTATCCGAGAATCGACCAGCCGCCTATCGTAATCCCTTTTCAACCTTTTTAAAGCGTAAACGTCATTCAAAATCAACGGAATCACGATTAATCTTGAGAAAGGAGTATACAAACGGAGATTCCAAGTGTGGTTTAATGTGTCATTTACTATGTCGACCTGGTTGTTCAAAAATATGCTATTCATCGTGTACATGAATGCTGTAGACAACAGGGCTGATGAAGGCGATGATATACACGGTAGACAACATTATTCTATTACCTGTAATGTGTATATTATGTTGACAATAATGAAACAACAGGTTAAACACCAACATCACCAACAACAACACTTTTCCCTAGTCATATTTTTCAATTCCTTATATTATATTTATGTATATTATGACAACATATTATTATTATTGAACAATACTGCATTATTCTCCTTCCACGTCTTCTTCGTATTCTTCTACTTCTTCTGCCTTTTCTTCCATTATGACACTATTCAACTAGTCAAGTCTCATCTCCTTTGGATTATCCTACAAATAATCCTACGAACGTTTCATTACACTCTCCTTTTTGAGTTCATTCTCATTGTCAGTATTTCTTTGTCGATAGACAATCGCCACGATACATATCAGTTATTTCTATTACTATTATTACTATTATTATTATTACTACTACTATGGTTAACAATACTCACTAATGTTCTTTCATCATTTATGCCTGTAATAATTTCTAATATATATTTGAAGAAAAATAAAATCTTGAACATGATGTTGTATGGAAATAGTACCAAACAAGAAGAGGTCAACAAGAGGTTGTTGTTTTTTTTCACTTTGTCGTTCCGTTTCCCATCTCTGACTAACTCGCTCTCTTTCGCTCCCTGCGTGTGTTTGTGTGGGATATCAGTTAGCTTGTAAATCGTCCTGTCGCCATTGGCATTTGTAATCCTTTCGCCTTATTGATTTACAGTTTTATTCCAGTTTATCCTGGTAAGTAGACAGAGATAGTAATAACGTTTTCTTTTAGTAAAAAAGGTGAGTTACAGTATGTCTGTTAAAATATGTACGCATAATAAGTTTGTCAATTTGAATCGTTAATATTCACCTTTGTGTTAAAGTAAAACAAATTCGCTTTCATTGGTCAGAAAACTAAATTTAACAGCACTTAGCTTTGCAATTATTAGTGTTCTCTGAGGTGGTTGGTTTAATGGCGGAGCTTTCGTCGTCCCCACTCTGGACAACATCCTCCTTCAGAGCAATATTTGGCATAAAGTGAAATGATTTAAATTTCTTCATGAGTGATATAATTGCGTCTCATGGTAACTATCTTTACATATGTATTGACCATTTTCTATTGACTTGGATTTTAAACTTTCTAGTCACCTGATTTACTTTCTATTAGTTGCTATATTTCGTCTATATTAACGTGTTTACGAATTGCATTTTCGTTTGAGTACCAGGCTTCTAGGAATCCCCTTTCTGCACTTCTGTTGTTTCCTCTGTCTAAGATTTTGACATTATCCCAAACATCAAATTGATGTCCATATTTGTCCATATGCATTGATACTAAAGGATACATATCGTGTCTTTTCACGGCTGATTTGTGTTCTTGGATTCTGATTCGAAGAGGACGCCCACTTTGGCCGATGTAATGTTTGTTGCGGTTCATACAATTTATTTTGTAAATCGTATTAATTTTATCTTCGTTTTCTGTTGGATCTTTGGGTTTACATAATATCGAATTAAGCGATTTGACTGGCTTGTGTTCTATATCTATATCAAACGGTTTCAGTATTCTAGCTGTTATTTCAGAGATATTTCTCATGTATGGTAGAATGAATTTTCCTGTGATCTTTGATGATGGTTCTTTGTTGGTGTTTTGATTCGACTTTAAACACTTTTTGATGAAATTTTGTGGATAACCATTCTTTTTGAAGACCGTTGTAGGTACTTTTCTTCTATTCTTTTCAACTCTTTAGTGCTACAATGTGTCTGAACTCTTTTAAACAATGTCTGCACACAGTTGCGTTTGTGAGTAACTGGATTATTGCTAGTATAGTTGAGTATTTGATCTGTGTGCGTTGATTTTCCATATACTTGTGTTTCTAAATCTCCTGTGTTGGTTCTCCTGATTAAGACATCTAAAAATGGGATTTTGTTTATTAGCACTTAACTTTATGCTGAGATTATCTTTGATAGGATTAGGTTAACAGATTATTATTTTACTATATGAATGCGTATTTGAAGGTAGCGACAGTGTTTGAACTAGCCGCCTTTGAATTTTATACTTACTCATGCCACCAGTTAAACCACAAAACCCACCTGCATTTCACTCGTTACCAGTTTAATTATTTTTTGTTTATTTAATTGCTTTAATTGGTGATAAAATGCATTTATTTTTGTGTTCAAACTCAGTTTCCTGCATTTGAGGTTGGCAGTAGTCTATACTAACTGTACGCTATAAAATGTTATGTATAGAATATGAAAACACACTATAGTTTAATGATGAATAATTGGTTCGACGGTTTCATCATGAGGTAGTAAGTAAGTCATCGAAGTAGATATTGCGAAGTGGTCGCGCCCTTGTCATGAATTGGCGGAATTTTGAATTCATGGACTGGCCATTGGATCGACTCTGGTCTCAGTAACTGCTGAATAGTCTACGAGCTCTCTCTCTCTAGCGTTGTAACCAGAAGGTCCTGGGTTCAAACCCTCTGTGGGACGGGTGTGTACTGCTGCAGAGTCCCAAAATAGGCTGACGAAACAGCTATCCAGTACTCTCTGGTTCTTTAACTGATGTTAGCTCATGATGAAATCCTCGAACCAGTGAAACAAAATCCCTGTAAAACTAATACTTGAAAATAATTATGAATTAAAATATGACGTATTTGCTTTTATATTACAGAGAATAGTAAATTGCGTGTCATTCAGTAACCAGACAGAGCTAGACAGCTACTCGTGATGACTGTTTTCAGATGATCAAGTTATGTAGTTAAGCGAATGACAGAGTACCGGATCAGAGAATTGAAGGTTACTGGTTCAAATACTGCTAAAACCTAGATGTTTACTTCCCTTATATAAGAATTATGCATAATCACGGAATATATACATTTGATCATAGGGAATAAAAAGACAGTTGCAGCGGAGAAAATTTTCTTTTCGACGAAGTCATCATCTAGGCTGTACATTCGTGTATTTATATCAAATGGATGGGAAAGTTCCAGAATAATTTCTGGTTAAGGGTCAAATTAATAAAAATCACAATTAGGAATTAGAATGCCATAATAAACAGGGGGATGGGTAAAACTCAAACAAAGTAGCATAATAACTAAGATGATTGACATTGTGCAATTGGGGGTTAGAAATGTAAAAATAACAAAATATACAGGATGTTTGGATAAAAAACTAGTGTGATGAATAATTGTTTATGCAATCAGGGATTAAATATGTAGAAATAGTAAAATGACAAAATAAACAGGAAGTGTGGATATGGAAATATGGAAGTGTAGACAGGGATTAAGAAAATTTAAAATAACATGAATAAACAGGAAGTTTAGATAAGAAAAGCGATGGGATGGTCATTATTAAAAAATTTACCTGTCTGCGATGGCCATGGCAGGGACAGGGGTTGAATGTATTTCTTTTGGATACAAAGAGTGGGTTTGAGTTTTTGGAAAGCTAACGCCTCAGCTATGCCCAAATGTCTTGATTTCACTCCCTTTGATAGGTTTGATCGAATCTTGTATATTACTTTGAAGGATTTTTCGAAAGTCGCTGAATGTCCTGAGTTGACCAGATGTTCTGTCACTGAACTGTATACACGTTTTTGCTCTCCTTTTACTAGCCAGGCTTAGTAGTGTTCACGAGCGCGTTTTCCAAGTTGGCGCATGGTACGGCCGATGTACTCAGCTCCACAAGAGCAAGTTAACTGGTATATGCACGTTGAGGTGGCCCAATGCGACAGCTTGTCCTTCGCGTTGTGGTTGAACAGTTTCTTGCAGGAAAACGTCAGTCGTAGGCTTGCAGCGAAGTTTTCCTCAGCGATTTACAGAGGCTTTTGCGAAGGATTTCTGCTTCAATATCACCTTTGAATTCTAGATTAGGCAGAAGTATTTTCTTTGGGACGGATTGGACTTGTTGGGAAGTTTTCTTAGGTTTGAGATTCTTGTCTATGAACCTGGGCGGGAAACCGTTTTCCATCAAGTATTGGTTGGAGGGTTTCATCATGAGCTGACATCGGTTAAAGAACCATTGGAAAGCCTGCAAGGAGTACTGGATATCAACTTCGTCCTGGTTTTGAACCCTTTAGTAGTACGAACCCACAGACATGGTTCAAACCCAGAACCTTCTGGTTACAAGGCCAGCGAGCTTGTAGACCATTCAGTAGCCAGTGGAATCCAAGCCGATCCAATGGCCAGCCCATGAATTCTAACGTTGCAATATCTTCTTCTATGAGTTATTGCCTCACCTTCAACCTGCTGTACCCTACTGGTCTCGGCTTCCCACTAGAACCTCGCTCAAGTGACTACCTACCTGAATAGGACTAGTCGCTTTTTAATAGTTGTCTGCAACACTTCAGACATAGTTACAAGGTAGTGTGGCTGAATCAAGGCCGTCCACAATCTTACTCAGTTGTCAATGGCATGATTGGCTAGTATATCAAACAACCTTGTTTTTACACCTTTTTGTTTCTATTTAATATATCGTATCCAGTGGGTCATCTGATCTTGTTTTCTAACATTTCGGTACTGATTCAACATATATATAAATTTATAGATAGATAGATAGATAGATATGCATGTACTCGTAATCTATTTGTCATTCCATTCGTATGTATATCCAATACAGATAGACATTTCCGAAAATCAGGGCGTTACTATCATCTCTTTTTCTCCATTGTTCTGGTAACACTTTTCATAGATATTTACATTTACAAAATATACAACAACAAAAAATACTCTCCAAAAACTGATACACTATTCGCAGGGAGTTTAGCAGTCACATGCATAGTGCACAGTTATAGTAGTATAGTTTATACAAATAGGTGAGTGTTGTTTCAAATTTATTAGATTTTGGATTATTTTATTTTGTAGTTAAATAAAGTGCACTTAATCTATAATAATAATTTATCAAATAGCTAAGTTATATAATACTATGAAATTGAAAAATAGTTTTGAAACAAGCAATGCAAGTTAATAAAGCAGAATTTAAAAT